AACAGATTAGTGGGACGCCCCGCCTCCCTGTTACTCCCCGACGCGGTTGTGTTGTGAATGACTATGCCACGTGGCACCCTCCCCCCCACGGGTATTCGAACCACCCGCCCCTCCTGTCTCCACATCCACTGCAGTCTCTAAGAAGCGCCCCTCCCATGCCCTCGTGACAGCGCCATCGCAGCTTTGCGTCTCAATGCGCGTTAGTGCACCCGTCGTTTGGACCCCGGCGGGCGCAGCGCTACCGACCCGTCGTTTTGACCCCGGCGGGCGCAGCGCTACCGACCTGTCGTTTTGACCCCGGCGGGCGCAGTGCTCCCAGTAGCGCTGCGCCCGAGCTTCCAACTACACTGCAAGCATCTCCCTCTGCAATTCAAAACTGTATCTTGGCCCATAGTGCAATTACAACTCATTTTTGTGACTCCCGTGTAGTTTCCCCTTTTTTTCTTTTTTTTCTTTACGACCATTTCTTGGTTTATGTGTGTCATTCTTGCGCTGGGGCCAGGACCCACCCGTTTGCAACGCTGTGTGACGGCTTTTATCCATTTTTAATATTTTATGGTTCTTTAATTGTGGTTTTTTTTTTTTTTTTTTTTTTTTTTCCTTTTTTTTTCATTTTTTTTCTCACCTTTTGTTTTTTTTTTTTTGCCTTTCATTCCTTTTACAAGCTTTTCTTCGTACAAAATTCAGTGTTTTACTGACACAGCACAGCCTCGTTTCTCGATTTCAGCCGGGACCATTCATTGCCTAATCATGAGGTATGTTTCCTTCGTCAAGACGTACATGACATCAGCAATGTGAGGAAGTACAGAATGTGGCAAAATATAGAAACAGCGAACAAAGACAAAATGAAATAGCTTGGCTCTTCCGTCACCGTCAGGGTGTCAGAGAGGCCGGAGCATGTATGATTATAGAGAGCCTCCACCAAAACATTTCGCTCTACGTGCATTTTGGAGGCCGAGAAGCACTGCAGCAAGGCTGCAATATAAACCCCTACCTCCGAAATTGCCAATATTGTGTCCTTGCTACAGTGATATGCGGATAAAAATTCAACAGACCATTACTTTTCAGACTCATGAATTGGAGGAAACGTCGAGGCTGAAAGCCAAAAATTTCAGGGAAGCTTTGCCTGCCGATATTTTTGACATCCACGGTCGACGGTCGTCACCCTCTGCCACTCATGATCGAAATCACAACAGCTATGGTGTCAAACAGCGCTAGTGGGTGCCGTCCACAGGGGCCATGCTAATCTACTCCGTATCGTTCCAATTTTAACGGATGTACCGAAGGACGCGTACGGTGTACTCTTTCTTCCCTCCCCCTCCCCGCTCAAAACCACTATAACCAGATTTGAAAGGAGGCCTGGGACCTTACAATTCAACCCGGAGTTATCCTGGCAGCAGCATCAGCCTGTAACACTGCACTTACAGTTACCTTACAGCAGCACTGAAACCATACCTACAGTCTTCCCCCGAATACAAACGTACGGTCATTATAGATGTATCTAGACTGAAAGATGCCTCAAATACGGCTATAATGACCGTGCGTTGTATTCGGGGGAAGACTGTGGTTACTGATACCCTAGCCCCAGAATTATACGGAATATTTGGGAACTGCCAGGAGGTTTGTTCCAGACCTCCATTAGGCTCAAGGTCCTGGGGCCATGTCCCACTTCTCTGGTTTTGATTGTACATGGAGGATGGCTCCTTGCCATCCGATCTGAAGATCTCACGGCCCCAGTGTGACCACGCTGGAAAATACACAAAACATAAACTAAACCCCCGCCAGTGGGAGACGGCCCTCACTCAGTCAAGACGGCTTTAGTGCAGGAAAGAGCTTAGAAAAGGGCCAGTACTTCAGGTTGATCTGGGGCCCCAGTGGGTGAAGAGGCCCGGGGGCCAAGTCCCACTACCAGTCACAAAAGTATAGGAATGAGGACCGTTCGTGCGTGTGACACCCTTTTCAGCCGCAGATAGCGAAGGGATAGTTCTAATTTTGTTACCATGCAAATAGTTAGGACGGTAGATCTTTCTCACCCTCTCATTGGTCATCAACTCTGCTAGGTATTCTTTCTCATCGTTGGAGGGGTTTTCATTCCTGGGGCCTGGACCCACTAGTGAAGTATTCTACTTCGTTGGTGACGTTTTCGATTACGTGTGACTGAGGGTGACACAAACGATCCGCAGATAGCGCTTCGCATCAACGGCGCTGCCTGACGCACTTGTTGTACTGATCAACAGAAAGTACCAAACAATGAACTGCATGAAATTGTGTGCCAATTACTTCTTTTTTTCGCATTGACATTCACGTTCGTCTGGATTTCCGGACTTTTTTTTTTTTGTTGTTGAAAAAAAGGCTAATTCTAGTACCTTTCCCGTGTGGGAAAATAGGGAAAACTGGCTGTTTTCCCAAACTCCTGAATTTTCGGAGGTCAGGCCCGACGACGACTGCCATTGATAAATCTGATCGGCGGCCGTCGTTTCGTTTTGGCCTCTGAAAAGGTCGGACGCCTACCCGAGGCCCGCTATTTTCCCAAGCGGCAAAGGTACTAGTGGTTGCCCAACCAATTCACTTACCTGTCAAATCTGGACAGGACGGCCTTTCAGGCCTTTTTTATTGTCATTATGGTATTATGGGGAACCCCTTAGCAGCCACATCCGTGCTCAAGCCTCCAACGAGGGAACATGCGGGAGCTGCACCCACCAGCAGGTGCTATACCTGCTACAGCAGGTGGGCGATACCGGCCAGGGGTCAGCCGGTAGCATCAGGACCGAGCTTCTTCGATGGGCCAGTCACTGTGCCTCCCCTCCGGTCCCCTGCCCCTACGAACATAAGCAGTCTCTGCTCAATGCCACCCGCGGGGGTTTTGGAAGGGGGGGCGTTTTCAAGACTTCGAGGCGTTGCTGTTTATGCCCTTTCCGTCCTTAAGAAAAGAAAAACAAGTGGTGGGCACCAACATAGGGCCTCGATCCACTGATCTCCACATACACAAAAGTGTAAAATCGTGTTGGTGCATCTTTCCGTGTTCACGTGGAACATTCACTCTTCTTTGGAAATTTGACAAGGGCTGGAGCGAGGCCTGTACGATTCACTGCCTTCCACGGTTCCACCCACAAAATCTGACAAAGATTGGCACCCAAAGATCCCCTCTGACGCCACGTCCACTTCGCAGTACGGGGGAGGCAGTTTCCATAAACTAAGCCAGTAAAAGAAATAACCATAAACTAAACCAATAAAAAACAAAATGGGGTAAGTCACAAAAACGAGTTATAGTTGCACCATGGGGCAAGATACAGTTTGCAATTGCTCTTCAGACACCCTACCTGGCCCAGAAAGTTGGGTTATATACATTGCCCGAACTGTAGGTCGAAACTGTATCTTGGCCCATAGTGCAATTATAACTCATTTTTGTGACCCTATAGTTATGTTTTCCCTAAGGCTATCAGGCCACCCTGGGCTGAAAAGGCCACCGTTGTCAGATTAGACACAAGATTGAATTTACCTGGGCTGGTTAGTCCGATGATAATACCTCAAGGCCATCGCCCTTTTCAAAAAAAAAAAAAGAAGGGAAAAAATACTTCGCTGGTGGGTCCAGGCCCCTGATGGGTCGGGAATGAAAACCAGTTCGGATATTGGTAAGGGCCATAATTTTTTTTTTAAATGGCAAGAAGAGTGTGTCAGTCTCAGCAGACTAACCTCTCTCTCTCTCTCTCTCTCTCTCTCTCTCTCTCTCTCTCTCTCTCTCTCTCTCTCTCTGTGTGTGTGTGTGTGTGTGTGTGTGTGTGCTCACGCAGATGCTTTGTGCGTGGATGTCCACTCCAAGCCTTTGGCGATCCTCACCACTGCCGGAAAGGCAAGAACTACGGGAATCTCTCTCTCTCTCTCTCTCTCTCTCTCTCTCTCTCTCTCTCTCTCTCTCTCTCTCTCTGTGTGTGTGTGTGTGTGTGTGTGTGTGTGTGTGTGTGTGTGCACGCAGATGCTTTGTGCGTGGACGTCCACTCCAAGCCTTCGGCGCTTCTCACCACTACAGGAAAGGCAAGAACTATAGGGATGCATTTTCCCATGTACCGGTGGAAAATACGTTCTCATTTTCCACATTTGGTGAAGTTGAGGAACGCCCAAGGACGGCCACTCCCGAGACTCCTGGCAGATTGTCATCATCGTAGGACCCTTCCGCACGGTTTTCATAAAGCTTCGAAATGGTGTCGCACCGTGCCGCAGCCATATAGGAATCAAAACCAAACTACCTAGTGGGACTTGGCCCTAAGGGATGCTGGACCCGGTTTCCAGCTTGTGCAGCTCCCCACAAGTAGACTGGAGCCTTGTTGGAGCCAAAGAAAACAAAAAACAAACAAACAAGTAGATTGGAGCCATCAGAAGGTAAGCACTACAGCTGTAGGTGCTCGTCTTTTTTTTTTCTTTCTTTTTTTCTTTTTTTTTGAGGAGCAAGCTATTATATGCTCGGGATGTGGAGTAGTGGTAGGTTGGTAGTAAAGGAGAATTGAAAGAATTTGAAAGATGCTGAAAGATTTGTGACAAAAAATATTATTATATATAAATTTATAAAATTGAAAGAAAAAAAAAATTGTTTGGCCGACGCCACAGCTCTGGACGGCAGAAAGAGGAATGCAGGACCGAGATAGCCCCAAGCAACCGTTGCCAAATTTCTCGCCTGCCCCTGCCACAACGTGCAATCCTGCATGTCTCATTTGTCAGCGCGTGCACATCGCACTGGGCGTTTCGACCGGCTTCGCTGCAAACATTTCTCGATTTATGCGACGTGTCATCCTTGCGCAGGGGCTATGCTAATCTTCTCTGTATCGTCCTTCGGGACGGGACGATACAGAGAAGATCAGCATGGCCCCTGCGCAAGGATGACACGCATAAATCGAGAAATGGTCCCTAAATTAATTAATTAATTAATTAAAAAAAAAAAAAAAAAAAAAAAAAAAAAAAAAGCCTTCTCTGTATCGTTCCAATTCTTACGGATGTCCCGAAGGACTTCGCTGCCAACATTTCACCTCCTGAACGTCGTAGCTTCAGTATTTTTTGTGACGTTGCCGCTCTCTGACTGCTTACGACATTCCTGCGGCGGCTTCGGACATGGCGGCTATGGCGGCTATGGCCGATGCAACGACCCCATTCACTGAGAGATGTGAGAAGAGGGAGGTAGACGGCGATGGCGTCGTGCACACGGGTGAAGACGGCGCCGAGGCAGGCGATGAAGAAGTGAAAGCAGTGGAGAACCTGGCGGTGGGGCCGGTCCTGACCGCCAGCGAAGTGATCCAACGGCTGAGAAGTCAGCTCCATCCTAACGTTGGAACTTACCGGCTGATGTACTCGAGCCTGGTTGGTGGGTTTATCTCCGACCCTGCTGCTATGGTCATTCCAATGGATGATCATATGGTCCACAGGAGCCATGGTGTCTTCGACACCACCAACCTGATCAACGGCCATTTGTATCAATTGGACGACCATTTAGATAGGCTCCTGAGGTCCGCAGCTGCCGCCAAATTAGAGGCCCCTTTCCCCAGAGCGCAGCTTCGACATCTCCTGATCACTCTGGCCAATCTGGCGGGCTGCACGGACGGTCATCTGCGCTTCTGGATCTCCGCCGGACCGGGGGGATTTTTCACCTCGCCCGCCGAATGCCCCAGGACGGTCTTCTACGCGGTGGTCCTTGCGCAGGCGAAAGACTATCCCGACCCCCGGCGGCCATTCAAAGCGGTGACGTCAACAGTACCGATGAAGCCGCCTTTTTTTGCGACGGTGAAAACTGTCGCCTACCTTCCCAACGTACTGGTGGACATCGAGGGGACGGAGAACGGCTGCGACGTCGGGATCTGGAAGGACGCCGACGACTGCGTGGGAGAGGGCCCTTGTGCCAACGTTCTGTTCGTCAGCAGAGAGGGAGTGCTCCTCAGTCCTCCCTTTGACGGGATACTGTCCGGGTGCACGGTGAAGACCGTGCTGAAGCTCGCAGAGACTCTGCTGGTGATCAGAGAGGGAGAGAGAGGTGGTGCGGGAGGAGCGGAGGAAACACAGGAGAATGGGGAACAACAACCCCTCAAGAGGAGAGCTGTCCAGGACGGGATCGAGGTGAAGAAGGTCAGGCGGGATGAGATCCCGACTGTACGGAGTGTGCAGTGCCAGGAAGAAGGCGATGGAGGCATCGAGAAGGAGGAGGAGGAGGAGGAAACGACCTCTGTAGGCGCCGTCCAGCTATTGCCCCCTTCTCCGTCCGGCCTAGGGTCGCCATCTATGGCGGAGAAAGCAGGGGGGAGAGAGGTGACCAAGGGAGAAGAAGAGAAAGAGGAGGAAAATGGGGGCCAAAGGACAGGCCAGGGCCAGAAAAACAGGGTTCATCTGCATGGGATCGAGATTAGGAAGATCAAGCTGGAGGAAGTGTTCAGCTTTGCTGAAGCTATGTATGTCGGTAGCGGCCATCTTGTCACACCTATTGGAGTGTGGGACGGCCAGTTGATTGGTGATGGACGCCCAGGACCGGTCACATTACAGCTGAGAGAACTACTGGAGGAAGATATGTCCAATCCCAAGAACCTCGTCAAATTGGATTATCGCCCGCTCAAGTAGATCATCGTATGCTGCTCCCATTGTCATTAAGTAACTGCGGATTGCTGTTCGCTCGCCGGTTGTCCCTGACCAAGGGACCAGTTTTCTCTGGCCGCTGAACGGTTCCACTGGACCAGTTGTTCCCACAATCCATCGCCAAGGAGCAAGGAAGAGGGAGGGAGGGAGAGGAGCCGTGAAGGCTGCCACTCCTAGGCCCTGTCGTTTTTGCCGTAGGACACACACACACATTGAGGACAACTGTCACCGCATTCATCTGCGTTTTTCTTCTGTTCTTTCCTTTTCTTTTCCCGTGTTTGTGTGTGTGTGTGTGTGTGTGTGTGTGTGTGTGTGTGTGTGTGTGTGTGTGTGTGTGTG